CGTAATTTTTGTACCTTGATTTGTAAAAATTTTCAGATTAACCACTAACGTTCTTGGCGCCAATATCAGGTTAGATTTGAAATTAACCAATCCTGAGCCGAGTCCGATGTCCGAGTTTCACAAAAGCATTGCATATCAGCTTCCATGTAGTTTCTATCAGCAACAATATCGTCATAGTGTGCTCGGAAAGACTGAATGTTGTGGAATACGAGTTTATTGGGATCATCTAGGTCTGGTAAATATCTGAGTGAATATGGGAATGATAATTTTCGCAACCTGGAAAGCTCTAATGCTACAGGATGCCTTAAAGTATCGATTGCACGTGGAGCATTGAAAGTACCGCCAATAAATAATCCTGATAACGAAGGTGCCCGACTCATAGCTACATATATCGCATCCCTTCTCAATCCTCGAGTTGGAATATCGGCAGCTGTGTTTGGGATAGACAGACTGTGATTTATGGATGGAAATAGCATTAGCAGCAACCAGGGGAATTTGACGGCGAACAATTTGCATTCCTTGATAGTGCCCAAAACTATTTAATGCCTTGGTTTCCGAGAAGATCGGGGTCCAATGCAGCGGAATTTCTAATTGTTTGAGTAATCCTAAGTTATTTGCCCTTGCCAGTTGTCCTACCAATTTCTCCGAGAATTCCATAAATACAATCTTAACAGCTTTCTGCCCGTTAGTTAATGGCTTTTCAATTACCCTCATTAATTTTCCTGTAGCACCATTAAACAATCCACCAGATACGTCAATATTTGTTGTAATCATATAACGAAGGCCGACTCTCAAAGCTACGTGGTATGGCATTCCTCCGGTTTGCTACAAACTTAAATATTCAGCGGACTCCAACATTGCTTGTTGGGAGGCTAGAATCTTTCCACCCTGCACTCTATCTATGGCATATGAATTGTACAATGGCCCCTTTGCTCGATTTATCGCTTCGCGATTAAATTTATCGCAATCTGCGTTGCTGTAAAACAACCATGTTGCATCATCTGGAACAATTAAGTTTTTTCCAATTTCTCTACTCTTGAACATTTGGATATCTTCTTCTTCAAGCATTCCCATGGACAGTCTATTTAGTGCAGTTGCAAACTTGGCGTCATCTTTTTGCCTCATGATTTCCTTAAGCTCAAATAGTCTAAATCTATTCCAGAGTGGATTTCCAATGATCGGGCCTAAAATTTCTTTGCTATCCTCGAAAACAAATTGTCCAAACACCGGACTAAGCTGATAGAAATCACCTACGACCAAGAGGCTAACCCCTCCGAATAATTCATCGACGCCTAAAATTTGTCTCAATCTTTGATCAATTTGGGTGAACATTTTCAAGCTAACTAACGAAATCTCATCGATTATCAAAACTTTTAAAGCCTCAAACTTACATCGCAAGGTATTGCATGAACCATGATCCAGTGGAGTCATTTTTCCTGCGTATTGATTGGGTGGGAGTCTAAATGCCGAGTGCAATGTCATACCAAAAACGTTAAATGCAGCTTTCCCTGTTGCTGCTGCAACTAGCACAGGAATTGCTTCACCACTTAATCCAGGTTCCTTGTCCGACATCCTTAATATGCACTGAACTATTGCAGTAATTAATCTACTCTTTCCTACACCGGCCTGCCCATGAATTACGTGGAAATTTTGTCCCGATCTTGCTTTCAAATTATGCAAAAGGTTCAATAAATATCTTCTTTGAGATTCGTTCAAAGTCTTCATTAACTTGAGGTAATCGTCTGTTGGTATCCACTTAGGAGGTCGAATAGACATAAACTTTGAAGTTGAGTCCCCTAACTCAACAGCAAAATCTTGGTCTTCGGCAATGAACTCGATTGGAGTATGGTCGACCAAAGCATTGTCAAAAGTTTCCTCATCTCCCTGTGCCATACTGAGTCCTACCTCTAGCTCAGTTTCAAGAAAACATGGATCATATATTTGTCGTTTTTTGTTTAATTTGTTGTAATTTGTAAGAAGTTTTGATAAACTGAAACATGATCAATATCAAGAAGATCTGTGTTTTCATCCCGCCATGGTACATACAGCATAATTTGTTCTCTATAAAAATTCTCAGGATCTTGATGGAGACCGAATCTGCGATATCGGATAATTCGAGAAGTTGTTCTCTCAGTTATGTACCCACTATTGTCAATCAGACTTAATGAGGTGATCGGTTGATTAATTTGCTTCCGCAGAGAAGAGGATACTTTGGTAAAGTTATAGTTTGCAACGTAATCAGCTAAACAAAGATTATCCAATGCCCTTGGCCTCACTACATAACGTTCTAAAATTCCTTTGAGAGCTATGTCGCATGAATCTGGATCCATTTTCTCAAGTTCGTCGGCAGGCTTAACGAAAATTACCCTGTCGTCAGGTCTATTCGTATTGATAAATGTTACGTCACGCGAACTTTGTGTCATAGGAATTTTTAATAAACAGCAAGCGGCCTCTTGAGCCGATACCTCTGAGGATTTCGCAAAAGCATTGGCATTGGCAAATGAGCTTAAGCGTTCTTTTAAACTAAAATTACCGTCCCTAATTTCCTTGCTAACCTGTCGTAAAAGTTTCGATACGCCTCGATCTGACTTGCTTATGTAATTCACAACATAACTGGCACAAGAATAGGGATCCAAAACAAATTGAATGTCAATGTTTGCTCGCCAGCATAAAAGAAGCCTCTTATTATATGCATTTATGTAAATTTCATGGGTTCCACGTCGAACAAAAACTTTGGGAATTTTGAGGTTGGAACGAATTGAGAAAATATAATTTTCTTCAGTAAGATCCAGATCTTCAAGAAACCTATCAAAGTTAATTTCTTCTGCATATCGCCCAAATGTGGCAAGCTTTTCTTTAATCTTGGCAAATTGTTCTTTATATTGCTTCACTTGGTTCGCAGGTAACGGAAGTAGTTATTAATTTGGCTACTCTATGCAAAATCATCGAACCTTTTGAGGGAGCAAGTGTTCTATTTAAACGATTAATGCTTCCAGTAAAAATGGTACCGAGAGCGGTGATGCAAAAATTCTCCAATCTGATTTTATTTATTAGTTGTGATTGTACTCCCTCACTAAGATTTCCCCTTTTTAGGGACCTTGTTTATTTATAACTTTTAATTGGGTGATTAGATTCTCCATTGGATGACTGCATTGCACTACCCCTTTTCAGTAGTTTGATCCGGAATAATTTTATTGAATGCTGGGTGTTTAAAATTGAATAAATCCGTCATTTCTTAACCGATTTATATCATTTTGGTCAAAATGTCCGGCCTAGATTACTAAACACCAAAAGACCTGATCTGGAGGTGCAAAACCAACAACAACAATTTCACGCAGTTTACCAAGCATGTTACAGAAACAACTATTAATTGTGCTGTTTACAGTTTTGAATGTATTTTGTTTGCAATTTATTAGTCTTGCGTCGTTGTCAATGACAATCATTCGTAGCACGAGCAGGAATTTCTGAACTTCAAATTGGAATAACTAAGCCAATTCTTAACGGATTTTAATATATTTATACTTAAAATTTTCAGGATAAACTACCCTACAATTTGTGGGTATCAAACTGTTGATAAAGTTTGCTAGTAACTAGCAATAATTACAAATGTGTTTCTAAGGCTACATTTTTGCCCATAATTCCGATCAAGATCACGTAATCGCTTAGTCGGATCAGATCCCGTTTCTATATTATGTATCAATAATCGGTGCAAAATTTCATCAAAATCGGTTGAGAAATGACTGAGATATCGCAGATGGTCACTTTTTTGGGGTGGGTCAAATGCATACTTAGTAATTTTTTTTCGTTGTTAGGTATTTGCCTCACTAAGAAAAACGAGCTTGTCAAAAGTTCGAAAGAAGTGTGGGCAGCCATATAGAAAAGCCTTACCAAGAAACTTGTCAATTCAATTCCACGGCCTATTTATGCTCTTATTGCGTCGAGGGGAGGTGCTACGTAATATTAGAAGCAGTGGGACGTAATAAAACTGACGATTCTTTGACTAATGATTTTATAAGTTAGAGGGTGCCAATACTTTTTGCGGGGTAATTTTGTATATTTGCCAACAAATTATTTAAAAACTGTGTTTATCTAATTTTAATCAATAAAGCATGATTATAATCGATCACTACATTAGATTGGTTAAATGCGTACAAAGTTTCGTGTGAATTTGATAATTCGTGCCTAAGTTATAACCATTTTTATTTAGCTTGCGTGGGTGGTGCCTATACTTGTTCCATTGACTGTATAATTCGGGAATTTAGAAAGGTCCAAATTTTTAATTAATAAAAACATAGAAATTAAACAAAACGTAAATTAGAATACTATAATATACACATCTTAACTAATAAAAACATGACGGCAGCATCCACTTACATGCATGTTCTTCTAGGTATTTGGGAGTGGACTGAAAAAAGTCGATTTTTGTGTTACATAACTTATGAACGGTCCTTTATTTAACAATACTCTGAGATTTAACTGATATTTATTATGTACTAAATGCTTATTAGAGGAACTTGTGACGATGGATACCTTGGCGATATTTGCTGTGGTATGGGGCAGTGCAACTTTTTTGGCTGTGCATGCGACGGTGGGTGCATCATGGCGATTCCAACAACGGGTCGCAAGAAACGATGGACTGGCTTACCGGTCCCACGCAAAATGAGATACTTTTTTAAATAATTGCTAAAATGTTGGCTTAAAAACATTTAATATTTACCAGTGTTTCTTTTCGTGCGCACGAAATTATTTTTATGCATGCATGGTGCTTAAAAATGAATAGAAATGCACGAAAATGCATAAAATGCAACTTATCTATGCAGAGATTTTCAAATTTTCAAGAAATTTTATATTTTCCTACCCTGTCAAATTTGGTATAAATATCGAATAACACGGAATTATTATTCTTTTTAGGAAAATTTCAAATAATTTACAAGTATTTGCAAATGCCGTCCAATTCCTCTCAACATTTTCATTAATAAACTACATATTGTACACGTTTATACTCACTATAAGTGTTTATTTATTCCCAAAAATATTCGAAATCATTGACAAAGTTCAAAATCTCTGCCATCTTTAATCACAAAATTTCTCAAATCTTCGTCCCTTTAACAAACCATTCCACTGCTTCGTCAATACTAATCTTGCCGTCTTTATTTGCATCAGCTTCTTTAACGAACTGGGCATAGTCGACCTTCGGTAGATTTGGGTTGTGCAGGAGTAAAACCTTCATCAGAGTTTTGAACTCGTTCTCATCAATGTATCCATTTTTGTCGGCATCAAGTGCAGTCACGTGGATCCTCATGAGCTCATTGTGGTCGTCATGACAACCAAAAGTTGCGACCAGTAGCTCCAGGGGAATTATTCTGTCGAATAGTTCAGTCCAGTAGTTGTGGTATTGTTCAAGCTGCTCGGCCGTGTAAATAAACTTGAGGGCTTGCAAGAGCCCTTCAAGATCAGTTACTTTAATCGTGTCGGTTGCACTGTCGTATGTTGGCAGTTTTCGGAAAGGCTCGGCTATCTCGTTCCTTGAATATGTTCGGTTTTGAGACATTTGGAAAATTATTATTTTCTGTGGAAATAATAGTGAAATGACAGATCTTGTACACAAGTATAGTTCATCTGTTAAAAACGCGTCATTTTATTATAAATATTTGCTGCATATTTTATTGAATTTCCAGTCAACGGTCCTGTTACCTGTCAAAAGTCCTAGGTTTCTTAATTTTGAAAATAGGTGAAGAATTTCAAGTACGGCTCAAACTCAAAATTCATACGAATTAGTAATTCGGAATTACTGTGTGTACCAAATAATCTTGTAGAAAAAGATGTTTGTGAATTAATAAATGCTTTAATATATACGTTACATGGCTAAAGTTGTCAATCCTCATATACATAGTTAATAATTCTACGTTTGCCCTTCCTAAATAAAGTATGGTATTCGGTTTCAAAGTGGAAATATCGATAATATACTAAAAATGAAGCATTTTTACCTTTGTGTATATAATTCAAGTAGTTATAATAATCTTGATTGGGGGAGATCCATAAATTATGTCACGCAAAAAAGCCCTTTTTTAGGACCCCCCCTCCCCTGTTGTCACGCCTTTGTCACGCTCGTCGTGACCCCTCCCCCTCTTGTCACGTCACGCCTGAAAATCTGAATTTTTCCGATACCTAGCAAGAATAACATGCATATTCGTATAAAAGGGGGCGCGTAGTAAATATTGCGTAATATCAGGACTATAATATCAAGGGAATCTTTTGTGCTGTGTCACCTGAGTTTTTTCACAAATTAACTTTATTTTGCCGAATTTCATGAAGCCACGCCTTTTTCATAGAACATGTAGTGCAAATAGCGGTTGAAGCGAAATATTTCTTCAATAACTGAGTGAAACCCGTGTAATTTTACAGGATAGGAACAATTCTTAGCTCTATTTATACTCATATCACACCTTTTGATGGAGTGAAAAGTCATAGCGTTATAGATTTGGTAATAACAACCTTTTCCAAAATTCACGTTAATTTTGTATTATTTTTAGATTTCAAAAGTTTCAAATAAGTTTTTCAACCACCAAATTTTTCATTTATTGCTATACATTTTTTTAATTGTTAAAATTTTTAGTCATGCAGCTGTCTTCAATTAGTACACATTTTTGAAACTTTGACTATGGTTCTTTCGGTCGAATTTTTTAAATTGTGCAAATTTTTGGAGATTTAATAATGTTTTTTAATTGTTGAATGAATATCTGCAAAATTATTATGATTTTTTGAAATTATGCAAACTTTACTCTTTATGGCATCATGATTTTTTTTAAATTTACAAACAATCTATATTATTGTGGATATTGTGCAAATTATTTGAAGGCTTGAACAAAATTTAGAAACTTGGTTGAAAATCTTAAAATCTAAACCTTGGTTGAAATTTTGGATGCATTTGATAATCGGCTGGACAAATATTTTTAAATAATTGCGAAACTGTGGTTTGGTCATAGTCGAAGAATTAAAATTTGAGTTAAAGTTTGCATTGAGTTAGGCCTAGAAAACGTGATGTCGCGGATCGGCCGAACCCCCCCTCCCCATATGTCACACTTTGTCACGGATGCTTGGCACCCCTCCCCCCCATCTTCAGCGTGACATGATTTATGGATCGCCCCTTGTACGAATATTTAATGATATTCCCAAGAAAAAGTTTGGAGTTGCTGCAGCTCGAGACCGTGAAGAGAAACTGGATTTGATTTCCATTTGAAGTATTAGCTTTATCCAAGAACAAAATAAGATGCATGAAAAATAACGTAAAAATGTTTATCATCTAAAGGGTGTTGATTTAATTCGGTAACCTTCATTTTTCTGTCAGCGCCCCAGATAAATTCTGCTAGAATTATTGATCCCGTTCATATTTTTCTTTGAAATTTTTACCATGTGTGGAACCAAGATACGTGGTAATTATGAGCATCGTAGCATTGAGACGCAAGTCTTGGAAACGGGAATTTTCACATGAAATACAAAATCTGCCATAATTCGAACGTGCCGGAAAAACCTCATGGCAATTGATGAAAAAAAATTTTGTCAAGGATGAAAAACGACCTGAACCACCCGGAAGGGTTCCATCTACTAGGGAAGCAAAGAATACGACGATATTTCTTGCGAAAACTTGAAGTTCTCATCGAAATGGTGCAAGCGAGTGGAACAACGGGACACGGATTTAACGAAAATCGAATACAAATAGTCTAGTGTGGTGAATAATGTCGGCGAATCTGCATATTGTGGTCACAGAACTTATAGGCTAACTGTGAAAAATCATTTGCTCCCCTAAAATAATTATGACCGTGTTCTATTTGCATAAACCTCATGCAAAAGTGGGTATTTGACGACGTGAGGAATTTGGTCACCATATACATACTCTGAACCGATGAATCTGAAATTCGGTTAAATCCAAAATTACACTGAGAAAATATGAGATACAGAACAGCAAAAACATCGGGGCTATCATTAATAGGGGTTCTGAAATGTGGGTCAGGAGCTGTGGTACCATGTGGTTTTGGGCGCGTGGTGGGACACCTCTAAATAATGTATGAAAGTAAGAAAACACGGTGAAATGCGAGATATGAGCAAATTCGACCAATATGCTCTAATAGTTTCGGGAACAAGGAATTATTGCCAATTGAGATATAAATTATTTTCATCCAGGGGAATACCACAGGTGACCTCGAAGAGTCCAATATTTGCTAAAAGAACAGCAAGTTTCACCTGTGCATTGGAAATTTTGGTGGAATGATAAAAATCTGTCCGCTCATTTCGTGGATAGCTTGTGGTATAAACTAAAGAGAAGAATGCACACGATCCAAAACTTTGAACAAGGAAAGAGATAATTGACAAAGTTCAAGAACTGCGAAATTTAATTCAAAAATCAACTTTGGAAAAATAAACATATAATTTAAGACAAAGGGTTGAGGCCTTTATTAAAGTGCATGGTGAAATACCATATACATAGGTATTTGTCCAAAAAATATTGGCTTTTGTATCCCTTGTACTTTTGAAATATAAGGATTTTATTTTTGTACTAAAAAAGGTTACCGGAATAAATCAACACCCTTTAAGGTCCACCTGTTTATTTGAATTAAACAACGAAACTCGTCTCAGGAGGGGAGCTTCACCACCTGCCCCTCTCAGATCTTGATGTGCTTTGCATATGTAGTAGGGTCGTATGAGTGTACTAAAACCCTGAAGTGGTTTGACTCCATGGCCACAGTTACGCCCGCCACACCCACTCAAAGGCGCCAAAAACACGAAAAAAGCCCTGTTTTCACTTGTTCAAACCCTCGCCAAAAATCCAATTTTGCTCGGATTTTGGTAAAATTTACATTTTTCTGATCCCAGATACTTGCTTGATCATATCCAGTAGCAATCTCAACTTTTTTAAAATTTTGAATTTTTTCGAATAACTCATCAGCCCGAAAATGCCCGAAAATTTCGAAAATTTCAAAAAAGTTTAGATTGCTACTGGATATGATCAAACAAGTATCTGGGATTACAAAAATGTAAATTTTATCAAAATCCGAGAAAAATTGGATTTTTGGTTGATTTTTGAAGTTGGTAACTTTTGTGGTTTTCATCCCTTTGAGTGGGTGTGGCGGGCGCAAATGTGGCCATGGAGTCAAACCACTTCAGGGTTATAGTACACTCATGGGACCCTGCCACATATCCAAAGGGCATCGAGATCCGTGAAGGGCAGGTGGTGACGCTCTCCTCCTCAGTATCATTAATAATGTACAACTTGAGATCACGATCAAGTCAAGGTAGCAATTATGCTACACAATTTATTTATGCAGTAATGCAAATATTTTCTAAATATCTGGTACCTGGACAAATATTCGGGTATGGACAAATATGCATATGTAGCTGGAGACCAGCCCTGTCTCCAGTTACTGGGAGGGAAACATACATAAATCAACGTCGACTTGTCATGGGTCATTTATTTCGTGAACCACATCGTGTTACTCAACTAATTGCACAGAATTTACATACTGGTCTTTGTCTTGTCTTTATCACCGGTTTTGTTTTCATTGCGATTCTAGACACAGTCGTAAAAACTGATAATGATACATCGGATATGAATGAAAAATAACTTTTTCCATTTATTGACCTACAGTCTCCAAACTTTCCGAGAATGTTCACAGTCACTTGTAGGTCACGTAGGTTAAAGTATGTTTTCTCATGTTTTCGGGTTTTGATATTCATATTCTCAGTTATATTTCTGGCTTTTTTCGTTAATTTTATTACTTTTGGCTAAGTTCTAAGATTTTGCCTACCAAATTGCCTACCAAATTACAAAGAAATCATTTTTTAAAATGATTAACTGTAAGAAATTTACAAGACTTTATATTCACTTTCGTCTTGGGTTATGTAATTCATTGTCAATGAATTAAATCACCCCAGACTTTGTTTCTTGATACAAAAATAGTCTCACACTAGGCAAAAATTTCAAAAATAGGGTCATTTTGTTGTCATAGTTTGGGAATTTTACAGTAATTTTTCATTCGTTTTTTGAGGTTTTATTAATCATTCATATCCGACGTCTGGTGATAACCTCGTGGTTGCTAAGTTCTTGTGAAATTGACTTTTCCTTAATTAATATTATTACAGCACTTTTATACCAGTTTTTAAATAGCGATGGCTGAATTTTAGTTCTAATTTCCTACCGAATTGGAAATATTCATGTATAAATAGAGACGGTATGTCCAATTGTAGTCAATTCTATAATATGTTAATTAATACTGCTAAAGTGAATTTAAGCTGAATCAGAACTTGACAAAAGAGTTTCTGAATTCAATCTTCAACAGTGTTTTTGGATGTATCCGTTTTATTTTAGCGAAAACCAGGATTCCTGAACAAATATTCATATTCTCTGCATTATTATCATTTTTTGATAATCAAGCAACTAAACATACCCCATTTATTATCATAATGTTCACCTTCACATACCACCGTGGATCAGATCGATTGACGAAGCAATTATGCTAAACAGGTTATTTGTCCAGTCCTTTTATAACAAAATTATTAAGTGCTCCTGCTGGATAGCTATGTACAGGGTGGTTTAAATGTCACGCTACAAAGGAAAATTTTTCAATGGGAAAAATTCGTAAATTTCCGTTAGTAACCGACATTTTGTCTCTGAAATTCAATATTTTAAAAATTTTGCCATCAGTTTTCATAATAATTAATACAAATCTCAGTCCCAAGTCTTGTAACTATTGGAGGTTTAGGGGTTTTTCCCATTGAAAAATTTTCCATTGTAGCGTGACATTTAAACCACCCTGTACAGGCAAAAACAAAAATTTCTAGTCTTTTCATTACGACACCTGAATACTTCATGGGAGGGGAGCTTGATACGAAGAAGTTGTTGATAAGAACAGATCTTGATGCCCTTTGGATGTGTGGTAGTGTCAGATGAGTTTATGTACTAAAACCCTAAGTGGTTTGAGTGGCTTGGAGTGGTTTGACTCCATTGCCACATTTTAGAAAAATTACCAACTTCAAAAATCCTCCAATAATCCAATTTTTCTCAGATTTGGATAAAATTTACATTTTTGTGATCCCAAATACTTGTGTGATCCCATCCAGTAGATATCTCAACTTTTTTGAATTCTAATGGTTCCAATGCAAGACCATTTTCAGCGTAACGTTCCGACCAGTATGGAAAAATGGTGGCGTCGATTGCTTCGTCTACGGCAGAAATGCTAAAATTGCGTAATGTATTTTCATAAATATACGAGGCGTCAATGGCCTCGTATTTTCACGCAGTGTGAAAATGATTAGATTTTGATTTCAATGGTTTCGCTCAATAGAAATATTCGTAGGAGAAATGGGTGGCAAAATGAAATATTCCATCCAGCCAAGAAGACAGGCAAGTGGCGAAAATGGGAAAACTTTATAGGCGAAATACAGCAATATTTAAACGATTAACGGCAGAACAATTCTAGCTTACTACATGCAACATTCTGGTGATTACTTTTAAGAGTGTTTTAATGCATGCAAAAAATGTACACAAATGTTTGAGACAAAAATTTGTGCATTAGATCTATTTATTGGCATGTATATATCTACAAGTTAGGATTATCTAGGATTAATACATTCTACAAATAAATTTTACGTACATGTTATACCCAACATGCGTAAAGCGATTTATTCCGAGTTTAAATTATTTTCTCAAAGTTGACAATATTAGGGAAGAATACTTAAATTATTAGCCTGTGAATGTATGTATATAATATGTACATTGGATTGCGATAAACAAATTATTAAGTAGCTTCTGCTACTTTATGTGAAGACTTTGTCTGTCTGTCTGTCTGTCTGTCTGTCTGTCTGTCTGTCAGCAGGATATCAGGAGAACGGATCGAGATAATCGAAATCGGTTTTCGCCATCATACATAGGACCCCAGGGGAGGATCCTATCAACTTTTGGGGGCAACCGGACCACACCCCCTTTGGCGCCAGGGGGTGTGGTTGGGGCAAAATGAGATTTTTAGTGCAATTTAATCTATGGGTAAAATTAGGTGAAATTAAATGAAATTAAGTGAAATTAAGTGAAATTAAGTGCTTCCCCGATTGTGCCACACCCCCTCGGCGCCAGGGGGTGTGGTTGGGGCAAAATGAGATTTTTAGTGCAATTTAATCTATGGGTAAAATTAGGTGAAATTGAGTGAAATTAAATGAAATTAAGTGAAATTAAGTGAAATTAAGTGCTTCCCCGATTGTGCCACACCCCCTCGGCCCCAGGGGGTGTGGTTGGGGCAAAATGAGATTTTTAGTGCAATTTAATCTATAGGTGAAATAGAGTAAAATTATGTGTTCCGGAGTTGTGCCACACCCCCTAGGCGCCAGGGGTGTGGTTGGGGCAAAATGAGATTTTTATAAAAAATTAATCTATAGATGAAATAGAGTGAAATTAAGTGTTCCCGAGTTGTTCCACACCCCCTCGTCGCCAGGGGGTGTGGTCGGGGCAAAATGAGATTTTTACAAAAAATTAATCTATAGGTGAAATAGAGTGAAATTAAGTGTTCCCGAGTTGTGGTGGGACCGTTTGGGGTGAAGTACGTCTGAAGCTACTTCCGTATGCGCGTTTGCGACGGTTTATTCTATGTAGAGTATGTAAATACAAGATGTTAAAGGATAACAACTATATTAATTAACCTCCACTATCTCAAAATTGTTGTCGATATGTGCGGTCGAGTCACTCTTGTCAAATAGTTGGTGCACTTTACATGATTTGATAGAATGATTTTCGCCTCGTAAATTTAGTGTTTTGTTGATTATTGAGCTTTCAAGCTGATGGTGCATTCCAGAAATAAATACGTTGTCGCAGATGGTATTACTGATTACAGATTCTGAAGAAGTTGGAGTCGTTATTATACTAATTCCACCGTAGGTATCGTGTACACGTTTAATTTCGTCCGAGTAATTTTGGAATTTTTTCAAATCATAATATATAGCCTCAGGCGGGAAGTACTCCCTTGTATTCATTGTGCAATCGCGAATTACATTTTTTGAACCGGAAATTAGTAATCCCATATCTCTCACATCTTTAAATTTCAGGGACAGAAATTTATTGCCTGATCCCGATACCAACACCCCGCCGTAAGGTAATGATATTTGCACATTTTCCAGTGAATTGTTATCTCCGGATACTGATATCTCCGGAAATGACTTATGGTAGAGTTTGCCAAATCTGCCATTTGATACTTTATTGTTGCTTCCAGTTAGCTTAAACTCACTGCAATTGATATCTTGCAACAAATTGTTGCTTCCTTCAATTGTGATTTCCGTCGCAGTAATATTCTTGATTGTGCAACTATTTCCCTTGATGACTAAGTCAAGACGAGTTACTATTCCTTCCTGATACAATGTTACATTGTCTGCACATAATGTATATGTATTATTTCTAGAGTCAACGAAATCCTTTAGTACGATTGTATCTCCAGGCTTGCAGGTCGTCAAAATTCGCCTCAACTCTTTCATTTTCCTGACGGTGAACTTATTCCGGTTTTCATCGAAATGTCCTATGTCATGTAAGCTTGTTATTCGATCTTCAACACGCCTCATCGTTAGTGAGACGATTAATTCCTTAGCATTGCGAAATAGGTTACTAGACTTAACCAGACCCGTTTTTGATTTCTCAACAAGTTCGTAAAACATTTTGGGAGTTTCTCTTTGTCTCAACAAGTGACTTACTTCCCACACGACCAGTCCAAAAGAGAAGATATCAGCTTGAACCCCGTAATTATTTCCCCTTGTTTCTGGGGCACGATACAGGTCATGTCCTACCCCAGGGGTCAGGGTACCCGTAACGGTTTGCTCTCTATGCACGTTCCGACATAAACCAAAATCACCGACTTTGACAGGCAGAAGAAAATCTGTTGTTGATGAATAGCTAAACATGACATTTTCCGGACGAAAATCACGATGCATTATGTTATTGCTGTGCAGGTATTTTAACCCTTCGAACATATTTCGTATGATGGTTTTTTGAAGGTTGTTAGGGTTGTTAATAGATTGAGCGTTAAGCCATTGTCTCAAATTTTTCCCACACAGCTCCATTTGTATACAAAATGTCGAAATGGGCTTTTTTTCTGCTTGTATAGTTCGAAATTTAATCATATCTGCGGCATTCTCATTTTCTTTTAGACAGTCCAAGTCTTTAATGATGTTAAGGTCCGAGACGGTGAAATGGGTGTACGTCGATTTCAGAATTTCTAATACATTTTCATGCTTTTTACCTGTCATCAGGTTATACTCTCGAGAAACTATTTGCTTTTCTTCCTCCAGCTCTTCAGGTAATTTTCCAGACGTGTCAATGAATATTACTTTGACGGCTGACAATCTTTTTGATTTTGCTCCGCTGATAGCTTTGAATACATGTCCGTAGTATCCGAAACCCAGAAATTCTTCCAGGGAGAGATGATCAAACCAAGAAGTGAAAGTTGTTGTTTCTGGCTCCATTATGGCGTATTTTTCTGTAGGGTTTATGATATCAAAATTTGTTGGGTTAATTACGTTTTTAATTGTCTTACCAGGTTGGGGTCTGAATCAAACTAGAAGAAGGGGAAGGTTCCGGTCAGTAGAGTAAAGTGATGCCAATAATTTTAGCAAGAAGAAAATCCAAGTATTACTCAGTGTACGTAAGATTCGTACTGGCCGTTGAACCAATTTGAACGCAGACTTTGTTCACCAGCATGAGCTGATAGCAGTTTATCTTGTAAAGCAGAATTTCAATGTAAAAATGCGAGAGGCAAGATAGGGTTTCGGATTTCCAGTCCAAAACTGTGGGTCACCCCACAGCATTACGTGATTTATGATTTTGGTACTTACGTTACACAAATTCTTGATGCCACTTTATTCAGATTAGATTAACTTAAAAGATCATGACAAAGGTATTGGACCGGCGCAATAAAATGCTCAGAACTTTTTACACAGTTAATGAAATTTCAAAAAAATTGCATATGTTTAGTACCAAAGGGTCTGGATTGCCAAACAGTTCAAATTTTAATGATTCACTTCCGCTCTCTGCTACAGTTAGCAATTTCTTCTTCCGATTTCGCATCAAATTCTGCCCATAGGCTGCACCTACTTTCAAGCTGATTTTCTTCAATCTGTTCTTAAATTTTCGTAAGGTGTGTACCGTTTCTGAAAGCTAAGAGTATTTGGATTTAGTCAGGGCTCAGAATTTCTCAATCATGACTCAATAATTGGTGAAATCTATCAATGGAAAGCTTATAACTTGGTCTATTCAAAAATAATTTTTTCGAAATTTAATTTCGCTGTGTTCCCGCCCGGCGCGCGTCTTAAGGGGCGGTCCAATACCTTTGTCATGATCTTTTATTTTGCTGATTTCAGCGGATTTGCTTTTTAATCTTGCCGAATTGTCAGATTAAACTTGATCGATGGATTTCCCCGCCCGGAAGATGCATGCACTAAACCCCTGTAGTCGACGTCGCAATATAGAAACCGAAGCCTGGTGGTCATCTGGAACATCAGGGAAACCAAGGTTCCCGGAAAACATCAGGAAACTTTCGTGTCTAGGATGTTATGGACGAATTGTAGGATTAGAAATTCAATTCATTTGGTTTTCGCTCCGTTTGTAGAAAAATTCTTGCTTCGCAAAAACTTACACCATACACATTGTCCATTTCTTCTGGATTTTTCTCATTTTTACACTTCAGAATAAGAAATGCAAGGTGTAAGAAATGCCAGAAAGTGCATCTAGCGAAGGGGTTGTAGTTTCTTTTAAACCTTGCGGGTAAAAATTTCTGTAAGAAACCACTTTCTTGCGGTTTATTCTTGCACCAGAAACAATGACAATATAACAAAATTGTCTGCATGTGGAAACTGGTATTTAGCTTTGGAACCCTAGAGATCTGAGTTGAAGTAATGCCATTGGCCGCAATTGTACTGTCCAACTCGTGTTGTACAGATTGGTTTATCTGTTATAAATTTATTTGTTGTTTGATTTATTGAGTAAGATAACATAACGTATACGAGGTACTGCGTAGTTCGTTGTATAACTTCCACCATGAAGTGGAGCCGGCTGGAATTACCTGTGCAGAGAATGGATGCGATTATTTGCCAGCAGTATCACTCAAGTCAAGTGAATATCCTTTACTTTTATATTTTTGCAGAGATAACGTAACTTTTATCACCCCACACCTCGTCCAATAACTCGTTGAACGTCACTGGACCATACTAATATACCGATGTCGGCTTATGAGTATACTAGTTATTGCTGACATGTATGTATGCCGGCTATTAGATATAGTCGCATTAATTCTAAAAAGACGTAAGTGCGTTCAAAAAATTGCGCGACCTTTTTTGATGCATATATGTATCTCAGGCGTTGCTCCCAGCATGAAGTCGTCGTTGAAGCTGCCAAAAGAGCCTTCTCCATTTTGTGTCAAATGCCAAAGGGGCCTTATCCAAAAACAAAATTTTTCAGGAGAGCGCGCTCTCCTGAAAAATTTTGTTTTGCGCTCGAGCGTAAAAACAAATGATACAATTACTAAAAGGTATAGCAAGAGAAGTAAGGATTTAGTGGCAAACGTTGAGCGAGTAACACAAGTATTTTTCTACGCTGCGCTTCAGTTCCTTCGGCCTTTTGGCTCAGTGGTGTGTCGCGTTGGCTGGCAACGAGACGTCGTGGGTTCTAATCCTACCAGGAGCATATGAATATTTTTGCAAATTATTTACTTTTGTAAATTTTAATTAATGAATTTGCTTATCTAATTAATAAAACTATTGCATTTATCAATTAGCATCGTTTAATGTCAAATTTTGAAATTAGAAATAATTTTAATTCCGTTTTATTTAATAACTAGCCTACAAGCCCGTCTTAAAGACGGGCCACATTTCAAGTTTTACACGAACATATCGAAATTCCTTGGCACCACAAACTAACTTATGTAAGCAATTTAATGCATAAGGAGTTTTTTATCGTCGCTAAAGATTATTTTTAACGTTGCTAAGGAAATTTTTTTATCCTGCTAGGCAAATTTTATGTCGCTAAGGCAATTTTTTTACGTTCCTAACGGTATTTTTTTATGTTGCTAAGGAAATTTTTTTATCCTGCTAGGCAAATTTTATGTCGCTAAGGCAATTTTTTTACGTTTCTAACGGTATTTTTTTATGTTGCTAAGGAAATTTTTTCATGTTGCCAAGGAATTTTTTTTACGCTGCTAAAGAAATTTTTTTACGTTGCTACGGAAATTCTTTTATGTTGCTAAGGACATTTTTTTATGTTGCTAAGGAAATTTTTTTATGTTGTTAAAGAAATTTTTTTATGTTGCCAAGGAATTTTTTTTACGTTGCTAAAGAAATTTTTTTATGTTGCTAAGGAAATTTTTTCATGTTGCCAAGGAATTTTTTTTACGCTGCTAAAGAAATTTTTTTACGTTGCTACGGAAATTCTTTTATGTTGCTAAGGAAATTTTTTTATGTTGCTAAGAAAATTTTTTATCTTGCCAAGGAATTTTTTTTCCGTTGCTAGGGAAATTTTTTTATGTTGCCGTGGAAGTTTTTTTATGTTGCTAAGGAAATTTTTAATCATAATCATAATCATAAGCATAATCATAATCATAATTATAATCATAATCATTTTTCTACGCTGCAGCGTAGAAAAATACTTTTACTCGCTCAACGTTTGCCACTAAATCCTTACTTCTCTTGCTATTCCCCACAGTAAAACGCAATATTGCTATAGGACTGTGATTTTGGGACAGTGGACTGGGTATTACTAATCATTACAATTGACACGTGGAATAGATAGAATTTATATATGGTACAAAATGATCAGAATACGATGTAGTTTCTTAGATTGTATCCAAGAATTTTTCAGACATCATATCTCTGCACTGAGCGAAGTTTTTTTCTGGCCCTTCCGATTTGAGCTTCGCCATAGTTTTCCGCCACTTTCTTTCTCATTACTCTCCATATTTTTTGGATTGTTGGAAGATCTCTTGCCTTACCAGATGCCCAGGATGTCAGGCTTTATATTTGGTACAAAATCGTTCGGCTATTTGGTATTGGGGGACATTCGGAGCATTTTCCTTCTTTACTCTTTCGGCACTGCTTATTACCAGATTATTTACAGCGTTCAAATATCAAGAAAATTAATATTAATAATAACAAAAAATATTTTAAATCCGGATTTGGGTCCCAAGAAAAACGGATAGTCCGAAATCCGGATTTGAAAATTCGGAACGGATTTGACAGCCATATTGTGAGCGGTTCCTTTGAAAATAGTCGCTCGAATAGTAGCGACGTGCCCATTTTTTAGGACGCAGTATAATTTATAAGCCAAATGGGATAAGAGTAGCATTAAGCATTCATTATATGTCAGAAATAGTGTTGAGGGAGCAGACTTACTACCCGTACCCAAAGTCCTCACTAAAAAATTGACGAGTATGAATGTGATGTATGAATTAAAAACTATTCTCCCGACTGGGTTCTTGTGATTCGTCACATTAAAATCAAAGCTGGAACCAGTAAAGACAATTACATTTACTAAACCACTTTATTTAATTAGAATCAAGTAATTTGTTGGAGCATTAATTTAATACGACTTTACTCTTCCAACTCAAAACCAAGAATAATGCATAAAAAATTCATTCACACAGTAATAGAAGAAAGAGTAATAGAAGAAAGAGTGGCCCAAACCCAAAAAAGACAAGGAAACTCAAAATGATGGGGCTAAGAGACACTCAATTATAATACTACTAAAATAATGGTATTTTCATACAACTACAAAAATATCATTAGTTATGATCCATACTAAATTCAACAAATAGGATTACGCAACTCCAAGTAAGTAAATCTTTATTTTAATTGAATTCCGGCTCGTTCAGAAATTGCGACAATTTACCACGACCAGGTCCCTCTTACAAAGGAATGTCCCTCGGTTAGAAAACGATTTAAGTATGCCCCATTAACAAAATTGCATATGTGATTCCTATCCAAATTCCATGAAAATTATTATTTTAAGCACACAATAAATACACTCGTGCACGCGATTAAAACCATAATTCGCCAATTTATTTTGTAATTTAACCTTAAATCTTTACCATTTTAAAAATTATTTGGACTAGAATTTTGCTCAGAATTAGTTTTCCAAGTTGTTGAATATTCAAAAATAATTGTTTAATTTAATCGTCAAATCATAGTAATCTTCATCTTTAAAGTGGTGCTCCTTTCTCATTAGAAGTCTTTGCAGTAGCAAAGGATTAAAGTGTTGGGTGTATTTATTCCAGGAGAACAGGATCCTTTACAACACTGCCCTGCAGCAAAGGGGTTCATGGCACTTGAACAGGATCATGCTCCATTCCCAATGCATCGCTTCACCTACAGATAAATTAATTGTTACATATTTCATCTCACTTAAAATGCGATGGTGTGAAGTGTAATCCTCCGAATTGCTTAAATTTTAAAATTGTGTGGTTCAAGTCAATGCAACCAACGTTCATTGACGCAGTTTGTGCGATCGTTTAAATTTGTCAAACTGTTTGAGGTCAAAGGTCAAAAAGTTTCCGTTTGAAAGGAATGGGATTAGGTTTGCTGACTCCGGATAGTAAGAATCACCCTATTTTTCAACTTGGACCTCAAATATTTTGACAAATTCCGACCATCGCACAAACTACCTGAAAAAAATGTTGGTTGTATCGGCTTGGACAAGGCAACCAAATCGGAGGCCTTCACTTCACACCATGGCGTTGTTAATCTGCCAGTCAAAACTGATGGGAATTTATTTATTTCCCAATTTTGTCCGACCCTCCTATGAAATGCAGTTTAAATTGATATTTTAGTTAGTTTAACTGATTGTAAAAATTGATTTTGTTTAACTTTAGACCCACAAGGGGGCCTTGTTGATGGGTAACCTGTACATAGTGTGCTTCAAATACGTAACATATTTTACCATAATTTCCACTACATATCTCTAATCGGTTGGCATTTAATGTCCCAAAATCAAGGAGTAAAGTCACCTTCACGGAAAATTGTCCACGGTTTACATAGAAACACCCCCCATAATTACGCAAATATTTCCCCATCTCAACTTACTCTAGTACTACGCAGGCCGTCCTCATTTTCAACCAGGGCGGAGACACGGCGTTGCTCAACCAGGATGACGGTAAGGATGACAGCAGTGAGGAAGACAAGTACCCCCGAAGTATTCATCTAGACCGGTAGAAAATAGTAAAAATTAGCCCACAAAATTCTATAATGAGAAGTTCCTACTGTGTAAAAAATCATTTGTTGCGCTCTTTCACAAAACGTTTTTTTCTCAATTCCGCGTGCGATTTCGTTCTTTTCTCACTCTGTTGGTCCAAAAATAAAGTTATCTTAACCTTGATTTTCTTATTAAGCAAAAAATATTGGAAAAAATTTCGAAATCGCACGCGGAATTGAGAAATAAGGGTTTTGCGAAAGAGTGATTTTTTTTTGCAAAGATGAGAGTTCCCAATATCTATACTTTACTTTATGTGGAATATGTACAATCTCCTTGGGTCGTTGCAACTGGTTGGGTGACAAAGTATGAATGCAAACATATTTCACAGTTTGAGGACAAACTTGATTTTTACGGGCTTTTAATAGGACTCGCTTCCTCTCCGGGTCCAATTGTTTTCGTATTTATGTACGTATTTATTACGTGGACGTGTTGTGTAACGCATGGATTCATACACGTTGCATACGTGTTGCAGGACCGGATGAGAGGTCATTAAATTCAATAATTTTATTAACAAGTGTTATAAAACAAGGGAGTGACGTGTATGTACACTTTGCCCCGAACTTTCCTTCAAAATGTGGTGTCGTATGTGTCTTCAGTCCTACTGAAGACTTCGAATGGGTATAATTAATGAAATTGTTTTTCATATTTCGAAATACAGATTTTTTATTTTTTTATACAAGCAGTACTAGATTTTTGTCCTTGTGGTATGGAGCGTACCTCTGAGACGCGAGTAAGTTACTTTTGAGACGTGCTATATGGAATTAATTGTCAATAATTAATGTTCGTGATGTAACGTATGGACTGGAGATTATTCTAAAAGTAAGGAAATAATTATATGTAGATGCTTCGAAATAATCCTGTAACAAAGAGAATTTAATTTCGTTTTACTTGAAACTGCGCATATAAATAGGAAAAAAATCGTTATATGGTGCGAAATAAATTTAATAAGGTTGAAATAAAATTTGTCCCTTCGCAGTCGAGTTCTTGCATGGGTTCCTTGTACGCTTTAAGCGTTGCATCGCCATTTGGCGTAGTTGTCTCATTCTCATAGAGGAAAATGTGAAGCGTGATGTCTGTTCCTTGCTTGTTCTTGAGGTAAATCCGTTTTCAAATGTCTGCCCTCTCGACCTTCTTAGGATTAGTGGTATGCACAACTTCGGCTAACAAGGGACACTCACGACCTGTCGTTTGAGTCCTGGGTACCCACTATGTTTTTCAGAATCTACTAGGACCCCAAATCAAGGATCCATTCATATTTCCGTGTAAAACTCATATTTGGCGCCATGGCGTGGCGCCAAACTTAAAAATTTGCATTTTCGACCAATTTCAAACCCCCATAACTTTTGCAGTTTATGTCGGATTTTTAAAATTTTATGCTTAAAATGATCAGAAAAGTCGAAATTGTAGAGAAAAAAATAAAAATAAAAAAATTTTAATTTTTGAGATATTTTTTAGCATTTTTTCGACGAACCCGAAATTTCGAAATTTTGCGAACAGTTAAAAGCGATAATTTTGGAAAAAATTTCATAGAATACGAAAGTTGAACTACTTGTCATGATTTCTGCCAAAAATTTTGAAAATCCGTCCAGGATTTCAAAAGTTACGGCGGTTTTAAAATGAAAAACCATCAAATTTGGCGAATTTGGCGCCACGCCATGGCGCCAAATATGAGTTTTACACGGAAATATGAATGAATCCTTCATCTGGGGTCCTAGTAGATTCTAAAAAACATAGTGGGTACCCTGGACTCAAACGACAGGTCGTGAGTGTCCCTTGTAAGTGGTATGTGAGTATATCCGTGTCTACCCGTCCCAATTTCTAGAAATTAGTGGAATAAATACGGTACCATTTTGGCATGTACACATTGCGCTGGCAAAATTTTGCATAATTATTTAGGGGTTGAATTTAATGAACCACCGAATAAGCTGAAATTTACCTCAAATGTTAGCTGAATTTGCCACCAGATGAACTTTTTAGATAGTTAACGTCATAAAAGATGTTAATGGCAGTTCATCTAAATTTGTTGTAACCACCATCTAAATAGGTGGCTGAAAAAGCTAGCGTTAGAAAAATTTCATCCGGTGGCGGATTCAACTAAACTTTGTGGCAAGTTTCAGCTTATTCGGTGGTGTATTAAATTGAACCCATTATTTAGAACCGCCTTAAGGGTTCGAGGTGAAATCATAAATCTAACTGTGGGCGGAAACTCTACACAAAAGAATTCGGAATACTTATTTTGTATTCATAAATGAGATGGATGTAAGTACGTCCAACTTTATTACGTTCCAGCGGAAAGAGTGATACGTTAATTATTTGGATCATCTTACCCAAGGGGACTTGAGCGGCTCGTGTTCGTACTAGTTCGTAGATAGAAAAGTCGAGCGGAATCTAGGCAAATATAAAAAAAATCTTTAAACAAAGTTTTTATTTTTTAGAAAACTTGCAGGAAAAATTTTAACACGGACATGGAAACAATTATTGTTTGCAACAAAGTGAAGATAACATGATGTTTGTACACTCGAAATAAAACTTGTCGAAAATTTACCCAAGGTTGAGTAAAAAATAGAATGACACAACAATTGGGTAAAATTTACTGAACGGTTGGGCAAATTCTACTCAACCGTTGGATACATTTTACACAAATCGGACAAATTTTACACAACGGTTGGAAAAATTGTACCCAATTTTTGTGTCACCGTCTTATTTTACTCAACCTTGGGTAAATTTTCCACAAGTTTTATTTCGAGTGTATGTATGTATAGGCTGAAAAATTACTTTCCACTTCTCGGGATATCGGTAGGTATACACTTCCGGAAAAACTGGGTTGTAAGTATCTTCCATCTCCCTCGTCTTCCTGACCGGACATTTTCCTGAACGAATTTCGAGATGGAGGTCTGTAAAAAAATTACATACAGGAATTTTGAGCCCACTATGTAGGATATAAATTTTATTTCGTCCTGGATACCAGGCTTGGTAAAGAAGTCCGTGTCAGGGGCATCGCTAGACGAAGGAAAATATTTGTTGAGGTTGAAATGAAGATTTTTTTTTAATATTTTTTTTTAATTGGTAAGTTACTGAATTTCAAACCGCATCGTGACAATCGGCCGGTAGAAAGTATTTCCGCCGGACAGCTGGAGCAGGATGAGACATATGAGGTGGAAGAAGGCAATAGTAGATTTGGTTTGCATTGTGTAATATAGCCGCCTTTGAGGATCGGAGAAATGTGTTCTGGCCTGTGGAGGGTTACTTTTAAGTGAGAGGGTAAAGAAAGAAATGGAATTTTTTCGATTCATGGCAGGATGCAGATGCCCATTGTTTCAAAACAAAAAAATTTACGCAATTTCATTTATTGTGATTTACTCATATGAATTTTTACACGGATTTTCGCCGCATGGACAAAGGCCCTTTGTCAAATCAACACCGCCGGTGTCAATATATGCCTGGGTTAAAATGTTGAATTCGAGTTCTGATGATTTTGTAACCGGACGAAAAGGTCACATAAGGGTTATCAACTGTTAAATTTGACACAAATAAGACACAAAAGTCGAAAACACGTCAGAAGTGTCAATCTTAACAAATTTTCGAACAATTTGATATTCACATTGACGTATGACACTCCTTTCACCCCTTGGTTATATGCGTTGTAACCGTTTATTTAAAGAGTATCTGTATTTACAGGTAAATGTTACAACTATTTTTTATTTGTTTTGTGATTATTTTATTGTAGAATATTTTTTTCATAAATGGTTAATTTATATTCCTGGTTGGTTGTTATCGGTTTTTACGTAGACATTGCTTTGACATAATTTTGTTCTGGATTCTAAAAAAATATTTGTTCTCATTACTTGGTGAATTTTATGTTGTTTCGACTTGAATGTGTTTTTTGAAGTTTGGTTTTTGTAGTATGTAGTGTAAGACTTCATTATAAATATTAAATTATAACACTTGCCAAAATTTTATAAAGGAAAAAAACATTCACAATTTTATTTTTTGATGTAACTCTCAAAAAATCCCGGTGTAACTTACACTAATATTTCATTGTTAGTGAAATATTTTTCGTTACCTTAGTATTCCTTTTAGAAGGAAAAATTACGGAATAAAGTCGTTATGCGGAATTCGGCGTCCAGCGCGACGAGGAGGCGCACCACTTGGAAGAAAAGTATTTCCAGCCTTGGAGAAAATCAGGGTGGGTTTTTTATAAGGGGCTGTGGAGGAAGCTGAATGGAATTTTGCTGGATTAGCCCGATTCTTAGATAAGTCTTTCATCCCGAAGAATATTGCGGTTTGTGACACCCTGCGCGAATTGGTTGTTCAGTTTCCTCCTGGGAAGAAATTTAAGGTGAGGGTCGTAGACTGCGGGAGTGTCCTAGGAATTGTAATTGCTGGGGGTGGGATGATCCGACCAAGTTTTTGGACGGTATAGCCACAACTTTTCCCAATGTACCATATCAGATTGTGGAGGAGAGAAGGGAGAAGTTGGTAGAGGCCAAGAGAGAGGAGTGGATTCAGAGGGGAATATATGAGGGATTTTTAGGGATAGATGATACTTCAAAAAATTATGCAATCACGATGATCGTTGGGAGGGTGATGTATGTATGAAGAATTTACAATTATCGAATTAAAAATTGAGATTAGTCTTTAATCTTTTAATTGAGATGAGTCTCTGGGTTAATTTTTGCTTAAAAACCACACTTTTCATTTTCTTTAAATTTGTAAATTTCTAGAAATATTGTTGATTACAGATATATTAAGCTTAAAACTTAAGAATACTGAACTTTATAGGTTCTACATGCACTCCACAAATATGTATGTACATATTTATATTAGTAGAGTTTACGTAATTTATAATAAACAACATTTACAAATAACATCACTTAGAGTTGCCGATGAGATGAGATGAAGTGAGATGGAGCTCGTCTCATCCCATCTCACCCCCTGGTGAGATGAGATGTGAGTTAACTCAGTTTGCCAAAATTGTAACTGGTCTCATCTCATCTCACCTCATCGTCACATGAGATGAGATGAGATGGCTCATTTACAATTCCTGTTTTTAAAAGGCGAACCTGAACGCTAAAAATTTTGTATATAAAATGCATCCTGTGTAAAAAATGAAACCGTTGTTTGCTACATATATTTTGCCAAAACTCATATCAACTCATATACATATGACACGTAAATCATGAATGAAGTAGTAATGTGAAGTTATTATCTTTAACCGTACCTTGCATGTTATCATTATTATAGTTTGCACTTATTTATTTCTTATTTACAATGCAAGCAAATTATCCGAAACAT